ACTATAGTTGATCAACCATTTCTGAAATATGTTCATCCTGAATGGACTGCCTAGATATTGCTATTAAGTCACAAACATCTTTAAAGAAAATTTAGTAGCACAATTTATCCTCACTGTACAAACCAGTGGTTATTGAACTCAGTAGCTCACTGAATAACCCGTAGGGTATTTGATGCAAAAGGGATTGGGTTCGAGTCCTAGTGTGAACATCAACACTGTGCTACAGGTACATCTAGCTAGTGAGTCCCACATAGGGATAGATGAGTGTTGGACTCCGTTGTTAACTGCTATAAAACGTTACCTAAAAATGCTTGACTTAATAGCAATTTCCAGGCAATCCATTCAAGATGCATATATACCAAAGGACACCGATCTATCCAGAGATTGTAAAATACTATACAAAGCATTTCTCTAGAGAAAAACGTTTGCTATACATTCTTAGGTACCCACTAACTCTCAAAATTACTCTATTAATTTTTAGAATTTAAATCTTCAGCTTTATTTTTTTCTTCTGTAATTTATACACCCAAATTTCTATACGTTGATTAATTCGTTCACTTCTCTCACATATTTATTTGTAAAAATACTATTCTGCATAAAACATTGTTAACAAAACTTCAATTAGAGGCTATTTGGTGAGTAGTTCGAGTTTGATGTTTCAAAATTATTATTTTATTAAATAATTCGATAATACTCCTGAATATTAAATTAATTTCTTAAACATACTGTAATGTTATTCATTCTTCTTGGATAATTCATCATAGTTTCTTGGAATTGGACTTCCGTTATATATTTGCTTAGATAACAGTTTAGCTAAGTGCATTTCCACTAGATATAATTAGTTATTGTTAGAAACTAAGGTATTACATTAATGAATGATGAATTCGAAAAATGAGAAATAATGATCTGATACACATTAAGACCGTTTATTCTACTCAAGCATCACAAAAGACTACCACGGACATCGCATATAGGATCATTCGCAATATTATACATGACTGACAAAGTAATCATGCTGTTTATATCAACAAATCCCTCTTAATCTCACTTCGACTATTATCACAGATGCATCGCTAACATAATCAGAACAAAAATATTCGTAATGCTTAAAGTGTATTCAGGCTATTGATAGTTCAAACGACCAAACACAGGACAATTATACAGCAAAATACACTAAAATTCCAATAGAAAAAATTAGTATAGTTCATTTAACTACCACATTCAGACTAGTTAATCATTCATACAATGGACGTATAAACAAAAGTTCAAAGTTAATCATTTGAATAAATGTAGAAAGTAACACATGAAACTAGAGTTAAGTATTAAGTTTTCATATCTTGTAAAGTAAAAACATGTTAAGACTCACACGTTGTCAAGTCCTCATAACATAATGAATAGAAACAAACTTTATACCTAAGAGATTAAACTAACACGCTAAAATGGTTATCTATAATTAAGTCAAATTTTTTAAAATTTTAACCGTATTTGACACAGCGTTTTCACTAATGACATCCAGATGTGATTCTGTACATCAACAGTACAACTACAGGATTGAAATTGTAAGACACGCCGGGACCAGGATGATCACTAATGCCCTGGCTCCAGGTGGAGGATCGCCACAGCACTACGGCGTGTTGAAGGCTGCGACGATCCCTAATCGAGCTCGCTCGGACGCGTAGTTTTTGTCAGTGGGGAGGTATTCGGATCATTCCTTTGAATAACAATACAGGCCCCCGAATGCCCTGGTACGACCGAGTGGAGAGAGCCCGCTCCCCCTCTCGAACAGCCACGCGAATACAGCCTCTGCCAGGGAAGTCCTACTCACTGCACTATTGTTTTCGAAATTGAGAGGATGAAAATCGAATGTCCTGCACTTTAACCGGGCCCGTCGACACGGAGAGTCCACCTAGGGGATTTGAGAAACCCTGATTTCAAACCAATAGTGCACATGGGCTCCAGGATCCCGAGAGAACAAATGGCGTATGAACCAATAGTTGGTCACCGGCTATCATGGGACTGCATCTCCTCACGATGCTCCACTACCTTATGGATCAGACCTTTGGGTCAAAGGCTCGGGGTGCGGCTCCTTAAGAAAACCACCGGCGTCGGTCTGGGCACCCAGGCACCATTATAGCACTAACACAATTAAAATGAAGTGACAACGATTATTTAATATACTGCTCTCACTCCTATTACAATCCAAACAACCCATACCCATTTGATAACATTCACTTATATTTTTAGTTTTATGTACTACGTCACTTATCTACCCTCTTGCATTCTTACTTTGCGTATCCTTACTTTTAAACTTATATAACAGCTCGTATATAGTAGAAATTCTGTTCTATCTAAATGACCTCGAGTAACTTCCTGGTTGAAAATTGTATGCTACCACCAAATACGAATACTCAAACAGTTTTACTGAAACCACATGCACCATTCAAACTGGCTGCCATCAACGTTCGCACACTTATGTAGATCGGACAACAGATAGGGCTGGCTATGTCTTTGGAAAGTCTTCATATCGATGTCTGCCGTCTATCCGAGACCCGTATTCAAAACTCTAGTGAAGTACTACAAATTCGCTCTCCATCTGTCACTTCAAAAAGCTTGTTTTACATGCGCTTATCCGGGGACACTGTGGCATCTTCGTCTGGTCTTGCTGGCGTTGGTGTCGCACTAAGCGCTAGAGCTGAGGCAGCACTAATCGATTCGATCCCCATTAACAGTCGGTTATGTGCTGTTAGATTAGAAAGTTCCATTAAAGTGAGAAGAAATCGGCGTGAGAAACGATGTCTCTTCGTCATCTCCGCCTATGCCCCGACACATTGCAGCCCAGATGCAATCAAGGATGAATTCTAACACCAGTTATCTGTTCTTCTCCAGAAAGTGCGTTCGACAGATATTGTAGTACTACCGGAGACTTGAATACTCAGGTCGGGCGTCTAGGCACAGAAGAGAGTCGTTTAGGTGGCCGATAGGGACTCGTTGGTCACAGCTGAGATAACGGGGACCGTCTACTGCAACTTTTCACAGACCACAACCTGTTTCTGGCTAGCACTAACGTTCGGCACAGTCATCGCCGATGTGCCACCTGGCGTCCTCCCTCTGCATCTCAAGCATGGACTCAGATTGATCACATCGCGGAAGTCCGCAAGGAACTCCAACTCTTGAAGCGCTACAAATCACCTGGCCCAGATGACATACCTCCGGCTCTTTTTAAAGATAGTGGTGACTTCCTGGCTAAGGAATTGACGACGTTGTTTACAAAGGTTTGGGAACTAAAGAGTGTACCAACGTCATGGAATGAGTCGATAGTTGTCCTTAACCTTAAAAAGGGTTCACGTCGTTCCTGTAACAACTATCAGGGGATAAGTCTACTTCCGATTGTGTCCAAGCTATTGGCTTCCGTCATACTTCGTAGGTTGTTCAAAACCCGAGAATGGTTGACTCGCGAGGATGTAAATAATGGTGGTGTGGATCTGTTGTCTGGAGAAAGACTTCTCGACCTTGAGTATGCGGATGATATTCTCTTACTGTGCGATAATGCCCAAGCCATGCAATCCGCACTTAATCGGTTGGCAATCAGTGTCCGTAGGTATGGTATGTGCTTCGCACCTTCGAAGTGCTAAGTTCTTCTACAAGACTGGCAGGATTCCAATCCTGTACTCACCCTGGATGGTGACCAGATAGAAGTAGTCGAGAAGTTCGTGTATCTGGGTAGCTGCATAAGTGCTGGTGGTGGCGTGAGTGATGAGATCAATGCACGTATAGTGAAAGCCAGAGCGGCTTATACCAATCTGGACCATCTTTGGCGCCTTCGTGATGTTAGTCTGGCTGTAAAAGATCGGATCTACAACGCGTCGGTGACAGCAGTTTTGCTTCATGCTTGTGAAACCTAACCTCTCCGAGTTGAGGATGTTAGACGACTCTGTGTTCGATCATCGCTGTCTCCGAAAGATTGTTGAAATCCAGTGGCAACATCATGTCAGTAATGCAGAGGTTCGGCATCGTGTGTTCGGGCACAGAGACGATAATGCAATTGGTGTCACCATCTTGAAACACCGACTTCGGTGGCTTGGACATGTTCTACGAATGTCGTCCCAGAGAATTCCACGTCGTGCACTATTTGCCGACTCTGGGACTGGTTGGAAGAAGCGGAGAGGTGGTCAGTATATGACATGGTGTCATGGCATGAAAGAAATTTGCAAAGGACTGGTTGTGTTGGTCCTTCAAGACCCCCTGGTTGGGGTCCGAGAGATGGTGCTACACAGTGGCTAGAGACGTTATCAGATATGGCTCAGAATAGAAGCCAGTGGCGATCCTGCTGTAACCTTCGTTTACTTTCTCCACAAAACGTTGTTGTAACTTCCTTAATTGAAAGAATTCTTTCTGGTTGTACCTTTCCGTTCCATCCCCCATTATTATTATCATTACACTACCATACACTAATCTGCGGTCGTTATTGTTCTCTGTTTTTTCTTCTCTCTTATACGCACTTCAAATTTTTTTGTCTTCCAATTCTCAATGTTATTTTGTGGCGCACATATATTTGGTGCCCCCTTGTACCAATATTTGTGTTCAAATAAATAAATACGCCAAAAATGAATAATGACAGTGTAATATAGTAACCTGTTGATGTTGACAAAATAATAATTCTTATCTTAGTTTTTCTCACTTGTCAATATTATCATAACTTCTTCAACTTGACAATCACATATAATTCATACCTTAGTTTATATATATATATATATATATATATACTCTGCTATGTTTATTTATGTTAATGACATTTTTTGAGGAATGAAAACTTTCCTGAAATGTATCACATCTATTCTTACTCGAATGTAAGTTGTTATCGTTAAAAACTTTCATTGAATGTATTCACGATCTGACATACCTATTTATTCGCATTACATCCGTTTTCATATTAAAAGTATCTCTCGTTGTATTCTTACCTTAAACTCAAACTCATACAAATCATAATACAAAACAAGTTAGAATTAAACGTAAATTAGAGGAAAAATGTTCAAAGTTTTGATATAGAAAATAAAATTTGACATTGAACAAATGAACAAATTGATACATAATGCATAAAGTGGATGAAATATTAAAGAGAGAAAACGAAAAACAAACAACTCAACGGTATTTATCTCACTTTTCACGCGACTGAACTTAAAAATCTGACTCCTAAGAAATTAAGTTTAAAAAAAGAGAAACTTCAGTAAAAATTATACACACAAGAAGAATAAAGAAAAACAGATTTTACATATACATACTACAGTTTTTATACATTTGAAAACAAGAAAACACAATAGGGAAGATTATGTATACAAAGTATGATAGAAGATTGGATTGAATGGGGACACAATAACAAATTATATCATAAACAAGATAGAAACTGATCGAGAAAAAGTTCAATAGATTATAATAATGTTATATACTTTTAAAATATTTATATGTGGAAAATATATGAATCACTAAAAATGCTGCTTGAAGGTAAATATTGTTTCTCATATGATTGACAGAATATGTGGCTCGTCGATTCATAACTTTTTAATTAGTAATTAACAATTTCGTTCATGATACCTATTCTGCAAAATAAAAACATTTTGCCATTAAATATAAATATATACATAGTCTAATCATTAAAAAGATCTTGTTTCAACATGATATCGCTTTCTTATAATGCTCAAACTGACAACAACAAACTCCAGTGCAAATGAACATTCTCATAATAACCTCATTACTTGGAAATCTTTTTAAACACAATCGACATTGATGTAATAAGCTTTTTATGAGTATACGTATAAAAGTGAATAGTAAACTTTGACAAATGAATTAGTTGTGTATCTCACAGTTATCAACCATAGATGAACATTTCAAAAATGTCAAATGTGACAAAGATTGATGGCTGAAGCTTAGGTCAAATTATTAACAAGTGTTGGATTTTTAAATACATGGTGATAAGTCTAATGTTTCTACATGCATTTCAGACATTTCGAGAACTAATGACCAAAATTAATACATAGAGAAGGGAATAGAATTCCGGATGTTCACTGTAAGATGATACCCCTGAACACTAATAGATAGAGCACAGTGATAGAATTGACTTAAATGAAGCCATTAATAATAATAAGTGTGGTTACTTGTCATGTGTTTTAGTCAGAAAGTTAACGTTCGTTAACTCTCAATCAATCTTAGATCTTTTTCTACATCCTAGTGTTTTCATTGTTTTTTTTTACAGATACTACTAATGGGAAATGATAAAACAACAAAATTTCTTTTGAAATGAATACTTTAACATAAACTTCAGAATACTGAAGGGGTAAAACACATTGAACAACAACGTATTTGATGCGTATCAAATCTCAAAAACTTACTAAGTAAGCAACACATGCACTCAATGGTATCCATACGATAAGTGATAAGAAGACTGCGAAAAATACCAGATTGTCCCAAGCAATGGTCCCTATTGTTTTATTAAAAAAAACAATCAACGATGAAATGAATATATTTTTAAAACAAGAGTTTATTTATAGAAAAGGAACAGGAAAGCAAATTCAGTAGAGTATGGAATTTTTAAATAATATCTGTTTTTATATTTTTTTGGAAACTGATAATCAGAACAGTTGGTGATTTAATGTTTAAGAAATAAGCTATGATATGATACATATGGATTTCACAATTGATTGATCACTGGGTGGTGATCAATCTCATGCTTGTCTAGTCCTTATTAGTGCAGATCGAATGCTATCGATCGTAGTTTGGAAAGTGTAGTACATTATAAAGTTCAAAAACATGAACTCAATCTTTAAAGATATAATGACTGTTTATTGAAAATATGATTAAACAACGGACGTTCTACCAATGTAAAATGTATAATTAGAAGTAACTTAAATGTTTATGACATGAAATTCATTTATTTGATAACTGAAAATAAAATAACATCCGCGTATTTCTCTATTTATCTAATTAAATTATGACTCATTGATTTACCATACATCTAACTTGCAGTTAGCGAGGTACAAATTTGAAACTTGATGTACCTAATGAGCTATAAACAAGTATGTATTACCATTAACCCCCAGTATTTTATAATTGACATCACAGTATGTATATACATGATTGCTGGGCGATGGTTCAGGCATTCGATCTTCAGTCGCTAAGTCGCAGGCCCGAATATCCCAATACACCAGGTTCCGGATATTATCACTAGTTTCCACAATAAGAGGATGGCTTGAAGTCAACTACCCGAATATTCCCCTGTTAATAAGTCGGTAATAGTAACAAGATTCTTTATCTCACAACCCAATAATCTTTGAACCACAAGATCAATTTTATAATGTGGAGAGGTTGTTAGGAGATTCATTAATGCTTTTAATGATTATATGTATATGTATAATAATTGATAACTGTGTATTTGTATAGAGAGAATGATTAAGCTTATGTGTGCAAGACTTCAATTCCTGGGTTTGTCTCCCGCCCACAAAATCGTGGATGGGCACTGCTGAGAAGTCTCACACTAGGACGAAACGGGTTTACAGTGCTCCAAAGATTTAAATAGTTGTCCAACTTTGATCGGTTCATAATTTCAATGAAATATATATAACACTGTCAAATACACAAAGACTTTCAAATATCGATGAGTTAATTCATTAAAGATAATAAATATTTAAATGAATATACACATACACAAATTAAAAAATTCTCTTCTCAATAATAAGAATTATATTCAGTGATGAGAACAAGACGAACTTCAATAAAAAATCGCTGAATATACATGTTAATAAAAAGTGATACCTACCGAGATTCTTGTGTTTAGAATAATGAACTGGTGTCCAAAATCGTAATATCCGCTTACTTTTCGATTCTATACATTTTCCCGCCATACAATAACCATTAAGACATGGCCGATAATCTTGCAAATGAATATGTACTAAAGGTTGTTTATGATAGTATGAATTAATATTGTTAAAATCAGTTGTAGCTAGTTTTTGAGTTTTATTATCAACAACAAAATGATATGTATCATTTGGTGAGTGTTTATCATACAACCGTAATATGTTAGACGAGGATAGTAAAAACTTATGCATAGAATACAGAGTTGATCGTCTTGAATAAATCATTGAATAGGATTTATAAGATTCTGAATGTTTTACAGTATTCTGTTTAGAATGTAATAGATATTCATTTTGGGACAATGTAACGGGAAGGCATATGGTGCTTTGATTTGTGGTTGAATTTGATGTTGGAAATAAACAGCAAATAAAGCAGGATTCTTCAACTATTTACAAGGAAAGAATGGAAAGAAACATTGACACTTTTATATTTGAAAATTTATTTTACTGAATTATAAACGTAAGTAGTCAGTACAATCTAAATTCATTATTTATTACGTTGTTTAATTTTATATTTATCTATTTATGTATATTAATCAGTACATTATTTTCGAGTTCCATAGTGATGCAATTAGAGTATATAAAAATCAGTCGTCTAATTTTGAATAAGGATCGGACTTTGTAATGGACTAACGAATTTTTCTACTGGACATGAATCTTCTCAGATCTATACTCTATATAATAGTAAAAAATTCGTTATATCTAGTGGAGTCCTGAAATTTCACTTCAAGATCATGAAACTTTTATGAAAATACAATCAGCAAAGAGACTGAACTATGGTACAAAGTGATTACGTAAGCTAGGGCCATATACTTGCTCTTGTGAGACAGGTTACACTGGCCTCACAAAGCGAACACTAAAGAAACGAATCTCTGACCATTACCATGGCCGACTCAAAACGATTATCCAGGTCGATCAATAGACTAACTCTGAAAAATCTCGTAAAGCTCTAATCACGTTCTCTGACCAGAATCTGCATTCATCCACATGGTCAAACGAATTGGTTAGAAATTAGAAACCTATGCACTATAGAGGCTTCTGTAACTTGTTGATTGAATTTCACAATGATATCACATCTATCAACCTTATCTTACTATATTTTACTTATCTTTAGGTCACTACCTAAACTACTTTTAATATTCAATAAATCCGAATGCTTTGTAACACAATTTTACACTACTTCTTAATAGACAACTATAAACGTCAGGCAACTTTAGACACGGTTGTATAGCTTCACTACTGAACAGTTCTTATTTTTTATCAATGATCCAAGCGATTTCTTTATAATAAGTGCATCCAACCTACCTGAATCACAGATACAAGTTTCCAGTCCCAGACTAGAACAAAACGGATGACATTTACCCTGAAAACATCGCCCATATTCATCACATTGACCACCGGATAAAAGTGTTGGACCTGGACAAATAGATGATAAACCATTACACTGACCAGGTCCTAAACAAGGATTAGTACTGCTAGTTTGTGCGCAAATGGTATTCTTTGGTGCTAACTGGCAATCTGTATAAAGAAAGGTAGTAGAAATATTAAGTAACGGATCGATTTACGAGGAGCAGTTTACAAATACTCAAGAAAAGAAAAAACACCGTGTTCTTCAAGTTTAAGTAGATGAAAGAACTATACGAATACCACAACCCAATGACTGAACGTCAAGTGTGACTTAACAACTAAGCTAATAAACAGATAGATTTGAATCTCTTATGAAATACTAGACTTTATGACTGTCAATGAGTATCGATAAACGCAATACTCATCACTTATTAATTACCCTAATACAATCTAATACTTTAAACCTACAAGCGATTAATGAACTTCAGTTTATCTGTTACAGGAATGATATTACAAGTAGAATCATTGTGAACAACAATAATTAATCTGAATTCAACGTAACAAATAGGCTTTCGAAACAAAAACTAACCAGAAGTACAACAACCATGATTCCAAGGTGAACAGTGAGCACCTGTTCTAAAATAACACTCAGAACTACAACAAGGATCATGTGGATTTCGACCAACATCACATTCTTCACCCTCATCAATACGACTGTTACCACAAAGATTTGAAAGAGCCGCAGATGAATCTTCGAAACATAATGGAGCACGAGTAACCAAACAAGCGCCAATTGTCCGTAAACTACATGGTGAAAATTTCTAAAGAAATAAGTATGAGATCGATAGTGATATTCATAAACCGTCATCAAGTAAGTCTAAAATACCTTGATAAGGAAACATTTGACAAGTGCATTACTAGTCTCTTCCATTATTAATTGGTTAATAATTTATTTATACACACAAACATTGTTACAGAGAAGCACCAAATATATGTGTCGCACACATTAGTTATCATTTAATTTGCGTGTGGGATGAGACATTACCCGGGCGCCCAAAACAAAGCAAGTGGTTTCCTCAAAGTGTCACAAGCCTTTGACATAAAGGTCTAATCTACAAGGCAGTAGAGAAACATTAGATGTAGTCCCATGATAGCCAATGGTCAAGGTTAGGTTCATATACCATTTTTTCCTCAGGATCCTGTAATCCATGTACCCCATTAGTTTGGATTCAGGGCTTTCAAACTCTTCTAGATGGGTCTTCCTTATCCACCAACCCGGTTTGAGCGCCGGACATTCGCTTTTCTTCCTTTCAATTTTGTAAACAACACTCCTCCGCGGTGCCTAGAATCTCATATAAAGACACATCCACTTGGAAATATGAGTATATGATTACTATTGACATTCAGATGCGATTAATTACTTGTGCTCATTATTACAAACAATATAAAACAATTAGAAATCAATTCTGTATTAGGTGGAAAAAAGCATAATTGGTAAATTAGGTATTACATATTCACGCCTGGAAAGAATTGAACCATGATATCTATCAAGGAAAACTATTAACAAAGAGAATAACACGTGACTTTTTCTCGATTGATGTTGAGAAATGGTACTCTATCATGAGGAATCTACTTCATCGTTAATCTTCAGATTGTCAGTGTAATAATTTTTTTAGAAAATACTTTTTTGGCATTTTATATCCGAAAAGTTCACATCTGAAAGAGGCAGATTTAATATGTTGGAAAAGACCAATTAATATGACTATGTAAGGTTTCCTTTATATCATGCAATTATCCAAAGAAAATATCTTTCATATAAGAGATTTCGGGAAATAACAGTTTTAAATTATGGTTACTACCTACTGATTGAATATGATGAGATGATACATGAATAAATTAAAAACTAATGCAACTAACTCCATTATTTTCAGCGTAACCTGAAACTGAATAGGTATACATTAAATATTTTCCAGAACTTATAGCTGCAGGATTGCATTCATCTGTGTCAGGATCATGATCTGCGCCCCAACTATGTCCTAATTCATGAGCCGTGATTAATTCAGCCAAAGCGTTCACTAGTTGTTGACCATTATAATCTACATAAGTAGTCCATCCTGTATTTAAATAGAGATCCTTTTTATTATTTCGACGAACTAATTTGGCAAAAAAAAGAAATATAAACATTTTTGAATGGTAGAAATATGTATAATTTAGTAACCACGTATAATTCTGTGTACTTTATTGTAACGACTAGTGACAGTACTTGGCAACATGAAAAACTGTTGACTGTGACTAAAAATCAAATAACTTGGCTCATTAAACAGAAGTGTCATTAACACTATAATACAATGTGATGTAGCCTTTTCAATAATACTGCGATGTCCGCTATTTATGAGGACAGATATAGGTAGTACGTAGCAGCAACTCGAAATGGGATGTCCACTAGCAGAAGTTTGAAAGAGGAACGAAGATGGAGAGCGATCGGAATAACAACTGAATTGGAAGAATGATGGATTATGTAAAGGAAAACTAAATAAAGATACGCAAATGATGTGCCGATTGCATGATTTTGATATTTTGTAAAGTCAGTCAGTCAGTCAGCTACAACGTAGGACCAGGCACATATATGCATCGGTCCAAGTTGCCATACCGCATTAGCACAGCAAGATGAACACTGGATTCATAGAAGTAGTTAATTCAGAGGTGGCAATATATAAAAGAAAGATTGCAATAAGGATATAGTACAGGAAGAAGGAATTAGTTCGTAGAAAGAAACATATGAAGCGATTTTAATCTCTTAGTTTAAGGAAAGATAGAGAATGTATACACCGACGCCATTGTGATCGATTCTGAGCCATGTCACCAAGAGTCTCCAACCATTGGTTACGATAGTCGCGTGGACCCTAACCAAACAGTCTTTGGAAAGTCTTCATATCGATGTCTGTTGTCTATCCGAGACCCGTATTCAAAACTCTAGTGAAGTACTACAAATTCGCTCTCCATCTGTCACTTCAAAAAGCTTGTTTTACATGCGCTTATCCGGGGACACTGTGGCATCTTCGTCTGGTCTTGCTGGCGTTGGTGTCGCACTAAGCGCTAGAGCTGAGGCAGCACTAATCGATTCGATCCCCATTAACAGTCGGTTATGTGCTGTTAGATTAGAAAGTTCCATTAAAGTGAGAAGAAATCGGCGTGAGAAACGATGTCTCTTCGTCATCTCCGCCTATGCCCCGACACATTGCAGCCCAGATGCAATCAAGGATGAATTCTAACACCAGTTATCTGTTCTTCTCCAGAAAGTGCGTTCGACAGATATTGTAGTACTACCGGAGACTTGAATACTCAGGTCGGGCGTCTAGGCACAGAAGAGAGTCGTTTAGGTGGCCGATAGGGACTCGTTGGTCACAGCTGAGATAACGGGGACCGTCTACTGCAACTTTTCACAGACCACAACCTGTTTCTGGCTAGCACTAACGTTCGGCACAGTCATCGCCGATGTGCCACCTGGCGTCCTCCCTCTGCATCTCAAGCATGGACTCAGATTGATCACATCGCGATCAGCTACCGCTGGCGTGGTTGTGTACAAGACTGCCGCTCCTTTTGGAGTACCTATCTGGACTCTGACCATGCCTTGATCTGCGCCAATCTCACCTTACTTTTCAGTGGCCAACGAAGTGACCGCCACCAACGGATTGATGTTAGCAAGCTGGTTGCAACTTCTGTTGCTAGTAAGTATCGAACCGAGCTAGTTTCTAGGCTAGCTACCATTCCACCGAAAAGTATAGATGAGCATTGGTTGCAATTGCATGACGCCATCAAAATGGCAAATAAATTCAGTTGTGGGTCCACGAAACGTCCCTCTTATAAGCACTGGGTTTCTTCAGGTTCCTTACAACTCATTGAAACCCGTCGGTCTACTCCGGGTGACCGTGAGTTTGACCATAAACGAAGGATGTTACGTAAGGAAATTGGGCAAAGCTTGCGTAAGGACCGAGAAGCCTGGTGGTCGAAGCGTGCTAATGAGCTGGAAGCAGCAGCTGCATCTGGTAACTAATGGAAGCTCTTCCAGCTCATCCGAGCCACTGGCAGCAAGAAGTCTGGTGTGATCGAAACAATCTGCGAGGATGATGGGATGCCAATCACTAACATCCATCGACGTCTTGGACAGTGGGCAGAATTCTTCGAAGGGCAGTTCAACTGGCCTGCTGCTCCGGCAACATCGGTCAGACTGTCCTGCCCTCCATGACCGGTGACAACTGATCCACCAAACGAGGAGGAAGTCCGCAAGGAACTCCAACTCTTGAAGCGCTACAAATCATTTGGCCCAGATGACTTACCTCCGGCTCTTTTTAAAAATGGTGGTGACTTTCTGACTAAGGAATTGACGACGTTGTTTACAAAGGTTTGGGAACTAGAGAGTGTACCAACGTCATGGAATGAGTCGCTAGTTGTCCCTATCTTTAAAAAGGGTTCACGTCGTTCCTGCAACAACTATCGGGGCATAAGTCTACTTCCGATTGCGTCCAAGCTATTGGCTTCCGTCATACTTCGTAGGTTGTTCAAAACCCGAGAAAGATTGACTCACGAGGAGCGGGCTGGGTTTCGTTCTTGTCGAGGATGTATTGATCATATATTCACCCTTCGCCAAATGTTAGAACACCGCCATACTTATCAAAGGCCAACAATCGTAGTGTTTCTTGACATCAGGATTGCCTTTGATTCGTTGGATAGGACTGTTCTCTGGGATTGTCTATTGAAGAAGGGTGTGCCTGAGAAGTTTATTAACATCCTAAAGGCCGTATATACAAACACCTCAGGCAGAGTGAGGGCATACAACCACTTCTCTCCATTGTTCCATTCAAGCAGTGGGGTAAGACAGTGTTGCCCAATCTCACCATTCCTCTTCAACTCTGCCATCGATGACATTCTGGAAACAGCTCTGATGAATGTAAGTAATGGTGGTGTGGATCTGTTGTCTGGAGAAAGACTTCTCGACCTTGAGTATGCGGATGATATTCTCTTACTGTGCGATAATGCCCAAGCCATGCAATCCGCACTTAATCAGTTGGCAATCAGTGTCCGTAGGTATGGTATGTGCTTCGCACCTTCGAAGTGCTAAGTTCTTCTACAAGACTGGCAGGATTCCAATCCTGTACTCACCCTGGATGGTGACCAGATAGAAGTAGTCGAGAAGTTCGTGTATCTGGGTAGCTGCATAAGTGCTGGTGGTGGCGTGAGTGATGAGATCAATGCACGTATAGTGAAAGCCAGAGCGGCTTATACCAATCTGGACCATCTTTGGCGCCTTCGTGATGTTAGTCTGGCTGTAAAAGATCGGATCTACAACGCGTCGGTGACAGCAGTTTTGCTTCATGCTTGTGAAACCTAACCTCTCCGAGTTGAGGATGTTAGACGACTCTGTGTTCGATCATCGCTGTCTCCGAAAGATTGTTGAAATCCAGTGGCAACATCATGTCAGTAATGCAGAGGTTCGGCATCGTGTGTTCGGGCACAGAGACGATAATGCAATTGGTGTCACCATCTTGAAACACCGACTTCGGTGGCTTGGACATGTTCTACGAATGTCGTCCCAGAGAATTCCACGTCGTGCACTATTTGCCGACTCTGGGACTGGTTGGAAGAAGCGGAGAGGTGGTCAGTATATGACATGGTGTCGTGGCATGAAAGAAATTTGCAAAGGACTGGTTGTGTTGGTCCTTCAAGACCCCCTGGTTGGGGTCCGAGAGATGGTGCTACACAGTGGCTAGAGACGTTATCAGATATGGCTCAGAATAGAAGCCAGTGGCGATCCTGTTGTAACCTTTTACTTTCTTCATAAAAAGTGGTTGTGTCTCGCTTACCTGAAAGATTTCTTCCGATTGTACTTTTCCGTTCCCTCATTACTACCACACTAACTTACACCAATCTCTTCGATATTGTTCACAAGCTCATCAACTGATTTATCATCATTCCCTAATACCCTGTGTCTAACCTCACTATTACTTACCTGATGATCCCACCAGATGCGAGCAACATTTATAAGACATATGTGGTCAAAGACTAGTAACTTACGAGTGTCTTCTACTCTTAATGGCCACGTTTCGCAGCCGTAAAGTAAAACAGAACGAACTGCCACGCAGTATACTCGTCCGTTAATTGACAGACGGATATCTCGCCTTCGCCATAGGTGACGTAAGTTGGCAAGAGCCAAGCGAGCTTTCCGAATCCGTGCTGAGATTTCGTCAGACACCAACCCATTACGGCTGATCAGATCCCCAAAATAAGTGAAGTTGTCAATGCGTTCGACTACTTCACTCCCTATCCTTACTTCAGGTGTTGACGCAGACCAGTCCTGAAGCAACAACTTGCATTTAGAGGGAGAGAAGCACATTCCAAACATTCTGGCATTGTTGCTCAGTGCTACCAGAAGACTCTGCATTTTATCAGCGTCTTCCCCAAACAGGACTATGTCATCTGCGTATTCTAAGTCGATAAGTGGACCTCCTGGAAGGAGATCAATGCCCGAGAATTCAGTAGACGAGAATGTTATTTCCATCAGTAGGTCCATGATGAAGTTAAACAAAAATGGAGAAAGTGGACAGCCTTGACAGACACCACTTGAGGCTGCAAAAGTAGATGACAGTTCGCCATAAGCTCTGACTCGACTGGTAGTGTTCGAGTAAAGAGCCTTCACAAGGTTTATGTACTTCTGAGGTACGCCTTTCAACGATAGACACTGCCACAGAATCTCGCGGTCTACCGAGTCAAATGCTGCTTTTAGGTCAAGAAAGACCACCATTGTCGGACGCCGATAAGTATGCCTATGTTCTAGAACCTGACGAATGGTGAATATGTGGTCGATGCAACCACTAGTTCTGAAGCCAGCCAGATTCTCTCGTGTTTGCAGTTCACGAGTCTTAGTTAGGCGCCCGATAATTATAGAGGCTAGTATTTTAGATACTATATTAGTTAAACTAATCCCTCTGTGGTTATCACAGGATAATTTTGATCCTTTATATATATATATATATATATATATATATATATATATATATATATATATATATATATATATATATATATTTCGACCAGTCAGATGGGATTACATTCAGTTCCCAGATTTTAGCTAAAATATTGGTCAACCTAATCGCTAAAATTGGACCACCATCCTTGAAGACTTCTGGAACCAATCCATCTGGACCAGCTGCCCTTCTTCGTTTCAGATTAACTATAGCCTTTTGAACTTCACCTAAAGTTGGGGGACTTACTTCAATGTCCCATTCACACTGTCTGGGAATGGAGGGTAGTTGTAGAGTAACTGAAGGCCAGTTGAACTGTTCTCTAAAATGTCTCGCCCATCGTTCTAAACGTCTGGACTGAGAGCAGAAGAGGGTGTCGTCTTTTTCCGAAATAGTCTGACTTACACTTGACTTATTAATTCCAGTTTCTTTTATTAGTCTGTAGAGCTGTCTTGTGTTCCCTATAGCCGCCGCCTTTTCCATCTCTTTTGCTTTCGTTGCCCACCACTGCTCACGGTCGTTTCTTAGACTTTTGCTTATCCTAAATCTGATTTGTTTACGCTCATAATCGTGTTCAGAACTTGATGAGACGAGTTTGCGAGAATCCATCAGCGCAACAGACCTTGAGGAAATCCATTGGTTCTTTGTAACCCTGTGGTTTAAATCACTGATAGACGTCAATGTTGTTGCCAAGCAAGATCTGGATCAACCTCATTTTTAGAACTACCTAATTGTGACCTCAGTAGTTCCTGGAACCTATTTTTGGTTTTCTCGTTACTCAATTCAGTCTTAATTGGTCTTTTTAATGTGGCTTTTTTGCGTCCAGTGAGGCGCAAGCAGATGCGTGCCCGTGTCAGGGCATGGTCGGAGTCCAAGCAGGTACTCCAGAATGAGCGACAATCTTCTACCGACCCTCTCCAATGATGACTGATGGCAATATGGTTTATTTGAGTTCATCGTTCGTTTGGTGTAGGGGGTCGCCATGTTAGACGATGTCTCTCCTTATGTTTAAAATTTGTGTTTGCTAAAAATAAACGAATGCCTGAGCACAGTTGCAGCAGACGATCACCATTATCTGTTCGTTGTGCCGGAATACTAAAATACCCATCTAAATGCCTTTCTGTTTGGTTTAAACTACTTATCTGGGCATTAAAGTCACCTGCTACGAGTACTTTGTCTGAACGTTAAGCTTTCTGAAGAAGTTCAGATAGCTTTCTGTAAAATTCATCTTTCACTTCATCTGAGCTGTAGTCGGTGGTAGCGTAGGCAGAAACGACGAAAAGGCAACGACGTGTGTCCCTATCCTTCCGAGTTCTTACGTAGCCGTTTAGCCGAACAGCACATAAACGACTGTTGACGGGGATCCACTCTAGCAGTGCTTGTTCGGCCCTCATGCTTAGTGCTATGCCTACACCTGCCAGTCCACGAGAACTGGCCGTCGGGTCACCAGATACACGGAGGGTGTATCTCGTTGGCTCTCCGTTTTGACGAGGTGAGGTCAAGTGAATGACCACACTGGGATCCTGTATGAGTGTTTCGGAGACACAGCATACATCAATGGTAAGAGACTTAGGGTTTTAGCCAAGGAAGCCTGCTGACCGATTTGACATAGGGTTCGTACGTTGAAGGCTCCAATGTGTAGTTTGGAGCGAGGTTTCAGTAGACCTGGGACAGTGTTTTGAGCACTAGAATCGTTGGCTATGGTGACACTTGAGGAGGAAGCCAAAAGAGAAAACTTAGAGTCGAAAGTCGATGTAGGAGGAATAATAGGAATTGAAGAGGGAGGTTGATTATGAATACAGTGGTCTTGAGTGCTGTTAGAGGTATGAGGGCAGTTATCACTTCCCGGTTGCCCACACCGTGGAGGGGTTCTTCTGGAGGTACCTGAAAAGGAAATTGGATTAGAGGTGGCCTTAGAGACCTGAAAGCGTGACCGCAGTGCCCAAGGGACAACTGCTTGAGGTCGTTCACACACGACCTTTTTATGGGTAATTTTTGTGTTGGCTCCGTACTTGTTGTGAACTTACCGCCGGAGACGGATATCCGTGGGATAAGGTGAGGTGTGCATTTTTAGGGTCGACCTTTTCTAACTCCACCCCTCCTTGTGGGAAGGCAGCATCGCTGTTATGCTGGTTGTCTGAAGGAAACACCTTACTGCTGTCACACCTCTGTACAGTCAGCAGTACGACTTCGCCTTCGGACCTTGGGTTTGTTGCTTTTAGTCTTACCGCTCTTCAACCGACCTGTCTGACATGGTAGGACCTTGAGGAACGGTTGTTCCAGCCAGTATAGCTCGGTTGCTTCATCACGATAGGCGAGTCCGACCACCACGTCAAGGTAGCAACAACGGTTATGCATAGAACAATAAATTGGTCTGAGTCTTCGTCCATTATGATACTTTCATTTTATTTATAATTAAAAATGATTTAGCGAATATATATATATATATATATATATATATATATATATATATATATATATATATATATATATATATAGTGAGAGGGAGAGAGAGACAGAATATGGTACAATAAAATTCTTTATATAGTTTAGTTGTCTTTACGGTATGCTGGCAAATGATTAATAACCCTACAAAACAAAATTTCTGATAATGTAGAGTGGCGCATTAGTTGTTAAAGCATTCAAATATTAACCAACAAGTTAGAGTCACATTTTACTTTAATTTAGAGAGCCAAATACTATTTAGTAAGCCACAAAAAAAACTAAATGAATTAAAATCTGCTTTATAATCGAGTTAGAATTATAATATTATTACTAAACCAACCTACAGATGGTACTCTCTCGGTATTTTGTAAAATAATTCATTTATTCTGATACTACCTTTTGCTTACTACTTCAGCATTATACCGTTCTTCTAAACTTAATGTATAATTATCTATTGAGATTGATTGTGAAAACATTTAAAACACGTTTTCTACGGCAAAATCTATAATGCCTCACCAATTAGGGACGATCGACCATAATATAATGACCTGACAGTTAGGTATTAATTTGTTGTAAACAAAGTGATCTAAAAAGCTGATAACTTTTAATCGCTTTGTCATTTATTTTTGTGCTAATATTTAGTATACAAGTATATTATTTTATTAGATAAAAGGTTGGTTCATTGACTATTGTTCTCATTGTTAATCTCAATTCATTAGGGGTTTACGGTAGTGCGTAGTCAGAATTCGGTTACAGAGATGTTTCAATTACAGTTGATAAAGATTCACTACCTCATCAATCGATCTGCTATTCCTCCGAAACACTCTGCATCTAACCTCGGGATTGATAATCCGAGGGTCCTAACATATAAGAGAAATGCTTCGAAGATATTTATAGTCAAACACTAGTAACCAAATAATATCCTCAAATTTTAAAGGCCACATTTCGTAATCGTAAAACAGAACGGAGTAAACTACTGTGCATCAAAATCGTACTTTAGCTGGTAGACCAATATCTTGCCTACGTCACATCTGACGCAAGTTGGCAAGAACCAGACAACTCTTCCGCGTCGGTGCCGACATTTTATTAGGCACCAACCCGCCAGTGTTGATCAAACTCCCAAAATAAGTGAAGTGATAGACGCACTCAACTACTTCACTCCCTCTCATTACCACAGGCATCTACGCAGACCAATCTTGAAGCAAACTTTTTTATTTAATGGGAAAGAAACGCACCCCAAGCATGTTTCCTTTGTTGCTTAAGTTGGTCAGTATCATTTTATTTAATGAATGGGACTATACCGCCTGCATATTTTAAGTCTATGCGAGAACTTCCTGATAATAGTTCAACCCCTGAAAAGTTAGGTGAGGAAAGTGTTATTTAGAAGAAAGCATCTATGACAAAATTAAATAAAGAGGGAGATTATTTGCAATAGATTGTGATGGATATTCTTTACAGCAATTGATTGTAGAGTGCAAACAATAAAATATCATCATATTGTCAACAAATTATGTTTGAACTCTACCACTTGTTAAGAAGCACTTTTAGGGCAAATATATTTACTTTTCGTCTTCTCTTAGACCTTGAGTTTCAAAATAACCGTTTACTATCTATCTTACGCATCTATTTTTCTTCCTGATTTATATTAATTATCCCCAATGTTTTCTATTATCACTGATTATGTTACTACTTCTACTACTCTGATATTCGTACTGATAATTTAATCTCTCTCCGCTGGTGCGGTATGGCCATTTGAAACGATGAACAAATGCGCTAAGTCCTACTTTGTTTATGATTGACAGTTGAAAACAGATAAGAATATGAGTTGCAGATTTCATCATCAAAACCCAAGAGACCTAAACGGATATTCTGTTGAGATTTAGGTGACCGATTTTCGTGTTAAGAATGCATTAATTAATAGAACTAAAAAGTTAAGGACTTACGAGGTGGGGAACAAATACCGCCTAACTTCTTTGGATCCGGGGAGGCCAACCAAGACATCCCTAAAATGCCTTCATCTATTCTTTTGTAGCTAAGTAAATGAGCCAAACAAGACTGTTTCGCATCGAATCGACTAAATGCCTAGGGGAAATTTGAGTAAAGCAAATAAAGTATTTCGTTAAATACCGATAAGATTAAAGTATAAACTTGGGTATACTGAAAGGTTATTTAACACTACACATTCTACAACATCTCCTAAGAGTAATCTGCAAATACTAAAACCATCAAGCCACTAGAAATAATTTAAAAGAAGAGTAAACTGATTGATGAGATTAAGCATCAGCACAACAGTTGAGCGAATGGTAAAGCAAGACCACGACTTAAGAAGTCCTATGACGAACACATCGAAACATGGTGAGCATCCATGAGGTCTTAAATTCGCGGTCTGAAGCATAAAGACATCGCTACAAAATTTCGAGTTAGAATCACAAAATTAAAATAATAAGATCTTTGTCATATAATACTCAATCATTACCAATTAAGTGGATATACATTCATCTACCATTGATATGGGAGCAAACGATATTACCTTTCCTCCAGGAAAGGTAATGACTCAAAATAATAGAATATTTTACCAGGTCCAACATGTGTCTCTATATGAGAATCTAGGCACCGCGGAGGAGTGTTGTTTACAAAATTGAAAGGAAGAAAAGCGAATGTCCGGCGCTCAAACCGGGTTGGTGGATAAGGAAGACCCATCTAGAAGAGTTTGAAAGCCCTGAATCCAAACTAATGGGGTACATGGATTACAGGATCCTGAGGAAAAAATGGTATATGAACCCAACCTTGACCATTGGCTATCATGGGACTACATCTAATGTTTCTCTACTGCCTTGTAGATTAGACCTTTATGTCAAAGGCTTGTGACACTTTGAGGAAACCACTTGCTTTGTTTTGGGCGCCCGGGTAATGTCTCATCCCACACGCAAATTAAATGATAACTAATGTGTGCGACACATATATTTGGTGCTTCTCTGTAACAATGTTTATGTGTTTAGATAGTAATAGTAATAATAATAGTAATAATAATAATAATAATAATGATACTTCAATTCTGGTAATTAAGGATAATAAGCTGAGAAACAAAATGGGTAACATCTACTTACCAGCATTGTTTTATTGCTTGATTCCCTAAGTGACTTCTCTTAATTTTTAACTGAAGAAAAATTATATAGGATTTGCATATTTCTGTGAAATCTGTCACAGTATATTATTCTGACCTTAATATACAGCTCAACTAATTAAATATAGATTAACTAGTGAGACGCTATTTCATTGTACCATCCAGTTGACTTTAGATTATAATATTGAGTGGGAATATACTACATGAGTTTTAGGACTTTCAATGTCAGTCGTGTTCTTAACTATACAGTTGGTCAAACGTAGTCGTGGCCATTTGAAAACCAAATTTACGATAAATTTGTTTCGTGAAAACTAAATCTTATAGAAATGGACTTTTATCTGACTATTTTGTCGAGTTCAATTTCATTTTTGATGTGAAAATACGTAAATGAACGTGTGGTCTACTCATGTAGTAATACTCTTCTATCACAATAAATATTAAATAAAAGGAACCTCTATGATGTTAACGAAATATATTTCGAAATAAATATTTATCAAAAACTTACACGCAACAGGGATGTAGCTGTCCAGATTTTCCCACCTAAATCAGTTGGTGAATTATAGTGACCGTGATCAGCTGTCCATGATTCATGGATTATGATCTATAGTGTTGAGAGAAAAGAGTACCAACTAAGGTCAAATAGGGGAATGATAATATTACATAGCAATAACAATAGTGATAATAATAATAGTAATAGTAGTAATCAAAGTTGGCACACACTTACCTCATGTAATAAAAAGCCATAGCCAATCATTTCATCATGCTTATCATCCAAAAATTTTGAAGTAAGAAACAGATAATTTAACCGGTCAAATACTTTAATCTTTAGTAAAAGAATGTAAATTGTTAAATTAACATGATAACAAATAATAAAAAAACTAACAACATGACTGATAGTTTTAGGTCCATTTCTATTTCCCAAATTAGTAAAAAAATCGTAATCAGCGACGAGTGTAAGGCGACAAAGTTTGCGCTGTAATTGTATGGGGTTGAAACGTTTTCGTCTAATATAGACATCTGTAAAAAAAGAGAATGGAAATTGAAACAGAACTTGGTGAACAGTAAATTGGTCGCTCAATTAATAAACTACAAAAAAATAATGAATTAGACAAATTGATAATCGGTTCACCGAAAAATTGCAAATAAACAGATACTGAGACTCAATGATCGTAAAATTCATTCTCAATCTACTGTATATGAACAACTCTTCATAACACTAATAGAAAGACGCATAGCATTTGGCAACAACACTGATAAAATGTAGTTTTCTAGGAACTAAGACCTGAGATACATATTATATCTGTCAGGTGTAACATATCTGGCATAAAGACTGATATAAGCTAATGTCTAGTGCAACAGAAACGTTTGAAATGGATAAGAACACTAACTATTTATGTAACTTAATTAAAAACGTACCTTTGTCCCACAAATTTACAGACAGTTATGCAGTCACTTGTCCTTAATGGATTCACCACAGAAAATGTGAATATCAAACAAGTAATGTCAGCTAATATGTACCGAATGGGTATCTATGACAAGTATGACCGTCATATTACATCGACTGTTAATCAACAATAGCTGCTCGTAACTCTGATAAATAGGGTTTGTGTGTAAACGCCTTTGGATACAATCTAACGAAGAGAAGTGGTACAAAGTTACAGTAATGATATAATTAACTGCGTGAACAAGTGACACCTACTGACAGAAAAACAGCTTGCGACAGGTCACAAACATGCATCGGTTTAAAGTTGTGAAGAAAAGAGGAGGAAAGAGCCTTACAGTTAACGAAAATATGAATGTGAACAGTGGTTAACAAAATAAGATTTAATTTAGTTGAAAATACAACTGAGATACGTCCTTTCATTTAAAAGGGTTTATCTTAATTCTATAAATTCCAGCAACTAACAGAATGATAGCTACTGGGTTTATTTTCTGACATATATGATGATGTCTCAAGTCCGGTTTTTATGATCTCCAGGACTAGGAAGTCATGGACGGACAGGTCACGGTCTTACATAACTAGCTTTTATGCCAAGGTACCATATCATAAACTTACCACTTCTGCTCTTCTCCCACACATTCCAAACGTCGGGAAATAATGCATGATATGGAGGTCCCTGGGATGTCATTCGTAACGCATGCCCAAGCCGATAGTCTCGATGCTTTAAGATAGTTGGACTGCAATCAAATATACTACTGGACCTCAACATTACTTACGTGGTGTTGCCACTGGATGTTAACAATCCATAGGAGACAACGATGATCAGAGACAGGATCGTTAACCATATTCAGTTCGAAGAGGAAACGTTTCATGAACATAGGTCAGAACTGGTCTGACCGAAGTGTCGTCTGTTCGACCTTTCATAGGTAAAACAACATAATGACAGTGCGAAAAGTGGTTCAGATTGATAATTATGTAAATTATTAGGTCAACTATCACAACTCCATGGACAAAAATAGGCTACACTCATTACTATGCAGAACAAATAATTATTGATTGCGTCATACCCCTGTAGCACCAAGCTGTAGTCATTTCACTAGTGAACGGTTTTCTTAAACTGCTATAGAGAACAAGAAGACGTAGAGTGGGAACAAAATATGAGGAGGCTAAAAAAAATCCTTTTCAAGTGAAAACCGGTGTGGAGACTGACAGCAAGGTATATTTACCAAAACACAGACATACTGGAGAGCAAAAATGATATAATTACTCGTTATGACATAGGATTTTATGAACGAATTTTCAACTGTTAAAATCAAAGAGGATGTCGGTTGATAGATGACATGGATTGATGAAGTCCCCGAGTGATAGCTGTTTACGAGATCAAACTATCAACGTAAGACCTCGAATCAGTCAGGGTCAAAGACAAGCCCATTATCCAGAAGAATAGGTTTTTTATATAGTAAAAAAGCGAGCTTATATACAAAATATCCATGCGAAAATAACATGATTAGATGACATAAACGATTGGATAAAGTCAATTTGTGTGTGGCTCATTCTCCAATTAATTAAATCCTGAGTGTTAGGTCTAGTTCTAGCCCATAATATCATATCATAAAAAAATTTAAAAGTATACACTAACATGATCCTAATGAAAAAACTCTACACAGTAAGATAACTCGTCAATTTAAAAATAGCCTATTATTTAGCTTATATATGAAGTGGCGTGTATATTTTAAAAAAAGATTCTTTTATCAGATTTAAGTGTAATTAAACTACCACTAACTAACCAAATGTATCAGTTTCTAGGGCCAATAAAGTGGCTGATTTATAATTCATCGATTTACTAAAATGAAGTTAACAACAAGTCAGAGAAAGGAAATCAAACACTTACTTTAGTATCTTTTTAAACTGAATATCTTTTAGGCGATACATTAACATAGAATTATTTCCAATATAGCTTGTGTAATCAGACAATGGCTAAGAATAATAATTAATATACTATAATTTACCTCAATAACAAAAATATCTGATTCCATATGAATATGAGCGCTAAGTAGTGAAGTGTATGGTTCCAAATGAGCTAACACAAATGATTGGTTTGAACCTGATACATAGCCAGTATGTAATTCTGCATATTTTGTTTTCGGATAAAAAGAGTAGGTACCATTTGTACTGATAAATCTGACTGACAAGTTAGAATTATGAAACGATGTTTCACGATGAAGAACCAAATACCATGATCTAGATGAATGAGTAAAAAACAATAATTACCTTCCCCATGCATAAAATACAGTTTGCCTGGTCTGCCGTCCACTAATATCTCGAGCGATACGAAAGGATGGTCTCTCAAATAACTCATATTGTTCAAGCTGTGAAAATACATCAGATTCTAAAAACATTTTGAAATATCACGGAACACACTACCTATCCTCAGAGTATACTGAATAAATAAAGTCAGGAAAAACAGTAAACACATTGTTCACAGCCAATTATTAGCTGTATAAACCTCATACTGTATGTCTTTAAACGTAAAATTAAATATCAGGGTCCGGAAGGTTTATGGAGTGATATGCATTGTATTTAAATCAAAAAGATTACTGAATGAGCACAAAAACAACGACTAGAAAGTCTGAAATCGAAATTTTTTGAAAAAAAAAGTTAATTAAATTGGAAACAAATAAAACTAACAAATTGTAAATTATTTGCAGATACAGTCAGTTTCAACAGTGATAATATGGGTGGTAATTAATCAAAAGATCCCGCTGGAAACTGTCCAGTCAGGATACTAGGTGATTTGTGATACGGAAAAATAGAGAAATAGAAAATGTTGAGCGATACACTTGTAATTCAATGATCAGTAAATTTTGGTAGTTTGTTCTCTTCAGTTAATTGCCCATATTCGAAAAATATTAACAGCTTGAGTTATATACGTCAAGGTGAATCACTGATGAGCATATTGTGAAATGAAAAAACTGTTCTTTAGTATTTCGATTACACTTCGGATTGTGATTTTATCGAGTAGCTACATCGTTAAATTCCTAAAGAAATCTTTTAATTTGAAATCGGACTCAAATATTGACATACTAGCAAGCCAATTTGATCTAGTCATATCAAATCCCCAGTTAACCGAATTAACTAAACTGACACATGACAATGCACTGACTTTTGGGCTACATTTATAATCGGAAGCCTAAACCAGGACACGTGAATCTGAATCAGTCAGCTACAACGTCAGACCAGGAACATATATGCATCGGTCTACGTTGCCATGCCTCATTAGCATAACAACATGGACACCAAATTCGTAGAAGCAGTTACTTTCATGTTAGTAATATATAAAAGAAATATTGTATATAAGGATATATTACAGGTATGAAGTAATTTTAATCTCTCGGTTTAAGGGAAGACAAAGAGTGTATACACCTACTCCATTGTGATCGATTCTGAGCCATATCACCCAGAGTCCCCAAACATTGGTTACGATAGTCGCGTGGACCCTAACCAAGTAGTTCGCACCCACCAACATGGCTCAGACCAGAAGTCACTGACTTCAATGAATGATGCTACGTTTTGGTTTGGCCACCCCTAACTTCCTTCCAACCATCTCCAACCCCGTTTAGCATTTCACGTCGTGGTAATCGGTGTTCAGGCATACGTAACACGTGGCCCAACCATCTCAGTCGATGAAGATTCACAACCTCATCAACTGATTTACCATCATTCCCTAATACCCTGTGTCTAACCTCACTATTACTTACCTGATGATCCCATCAGATGCGAGCAACATTTATAAGACATATGTGGTCAAAGACTAGTAACTTACGAGTGTCTTCTACTCTTAATGGCCACGTTTCGCAGCCGTAAAGTAAAACAGAACGAACTGCCACGCAGTATACTCGTCCGTTAATTGACAGACGGATATCTCGCCTTCGCCATAGGTGACATAAGTTGGCAAGAGCCAAGCGAGCTTTCCGAATCCGTGCTGAGATTTCGTCAGACACCAACCCATTACGGCTGATCAGATCCCCAAAATAAGTGAAGTTGTCAATGCGTTCGACTACTTCACTCCCTATCCTTACTTCAGGTGTTGACGCAGACCAGTCCTGAAGCAACAACTTGCATTTAGAGGGAGAGAAGCACATTCCAAACATTCTGGCATTGTTGCTCAGTGCTACCAGAAGACTCTGCATTTTATCAGCGTCTTCCCCAAACAGGACTATGTCATCTGCGTATTCTAAGTCGATAAGTGGACCTCCTGGAAGGAGATCAATGCCCGAGAATTCAGTAGACGAGAATGTTATTTCCATCAGTAGGTCCATGATGAAGTTAAACAAAAATGGAGAAAGTGGACAACCTTGACGGACACCACTTGAGGTTGCAAAAGTAGATGACAGTTCGCCATAAGCTCTGACTCGACTGGTAGTGTTCGAGTAAAGAGCCTTCACAAGGTTTATGTACTTCTGAGGTACGCCTTTCAACGATAGACACTGCCACAGAATCTCGCGGTCTACCGAGTCAAATGCTGCTTTTAGGTCAAGAAAGACCACCATTGTCGGACGCCGATAAGTATGCCTATGTTCTAGAACCTGACGAATGGTGAATATGTGGTCGATGCAACCACTAGTTCTGAAGCCAGCCAGATTCTCTCGTGTTTGCAGTTCACGAGTCTTAGTTAGGCGCCCGATAATTATAGAGGCTAGTATTTTAGATACTATATTAGTTAAACTAATCCCTCTGTGGTTATCACAGGATAATTTTGATCCTTTATATATATATATATATATATATATATATATATATATATATATATATATTTCGACCAGTCAGATGGGATTACATTCAGTTCCCAGATTTTAGCTAAAATATTGGTCAACCTAATCGCTAAAATTGGACCACCATCCTTGAAGACTTCTGGAACCAATCCATCTGGACCAGCTGCCCTTCTTCGTTTCAGATTAACTATAGCCTTTTGAACTTCACCTAAAGTTGGGGGACTTACTTCAATGTCCCATTCACACTGTCTGGGAATGGAGGGTAGTTGTAGAGTAACTGAAGGCCAGCTGAACTGTTCTCTAAAATGTCCCGCCCATCGTTCTAAACGTCTGGACTGAGAGCAGAAGAGGGTGTCGTCTTTTTCCGATGTCTCACTCACACGACTTCCTAATTCCAGTTTTTTGTCTGTCTTAAAAGCTGTCTTTTGTTACCTACAGCCGCTGCCTTCTCCCTCTCTTCTGCTTTCGTTGCCCACCACTGCTCATGATCGTCCCGCAGACTTTTGGTCAACCTAAATCTGATTTGTTCTCGCTCATCATAGTGTTCAGAGCCTAATGGGGTAGGTTTATGAGAGTCAATCAGTGCAATGGATGTAGTAGAAATCCAATGGTTTTCCGTAACATTTTGGTTCAAATCACCAACGATTATCGCTGCTGTTTCCATAGATGTTCGTATATATCCCCAAGCAATATCTGGGTCAGCCTCGTTTTCGAAATTGCCCAAGTGTGAGTTCAGTTGTTCACGGAATTTACCTTTGGCTTTCTCATCGCTGAGTTCGACTGAAATGGGTCTTCTTAATGTGGCTTTTCTGCGTCCATTGAGGCGCAATTAAATACGTGCTCTTATTAGAGAATGATCAAAGCCTAAAAATGTATTCCAGAACGAGCGGCAGTTTTCTACCGAGCCTCTCCAACGATGACTGATGGCAATAGGGTTCATCGTTGGTTTGGCGAAGAGGGTCGTCCTGTTAGACAATATCTCTATGTTTGAAATTGGTGCTTGTTGAAAATAAACGATCGTCTGAGCGCAGTTGCAGCAGGCGGTCACCACTATTTGTTCGCTGAGCCGGAATACCGAAATACCCACCTAATTGTCTTTCTTTTTGGTTTAAGCTACCTACTTGGGCATTAAAGTCAGCTGCTACGAGTACTATGTCTGAGTGTTTAGGTTTTTGAAGAATTTCAGTATGGTTTCTGTAAAGTTCACCTTTCACTTCATCCGGGCTGCAGTCAGTGAGAGCGTAGATAGAAACGACGAAAAGGCAACAACGTGTATTTCTATCCTTCCGAGTTCTTACAGAGCCGTCTAGCCGAACAGCACACAGGCGACTGTTAACAGAGATTTATTCTAAGAGTGCCTGTTCTGCCCTAATACTTAGTGCTATGCCTACAACCGCCAGTCCACGAGAATTTGCCACTGGATAGCCAGATACACGGAGAGTTTATCTCGTCGGCTCTCCGTTTTGCCGAGGGGAGGTCAAGTGAATGACCACATCAGGATCCTGAATGTGTGTTTCGGAGTCATAGCATACATCAATCGTACGAGATTCTAGGGTCTTAGCCAAGGAGGCCCGCTGGTTGATTGGACATACGTTGCATACGTCGAAGGCTCTAATGTGTAGTGTGGAGCGAGGTTTCAGTAGACCTGGGACAATATTTCGTGCACTAGAATCGTTAGTGATGGTGACGCTTGAGGAAGAAATAAAACGAGAAAGTTTAGAATTGAAAGTCAAGGTAGGAGGAATAATAGGAATTGAAGAGGGAGATTTATTATGAATATCATTGCAAAAAATACTAATCTATATCTTTTCATCATATAATTAACAATGTATTTGTTGGCTGATCGAAGAGCCGGTCACATGCGACCCTTTTGTGAGCAATTTTCGTGCTAGCTTCGTACTCGTTGAAACCTTACCACCGGAGACGGAAATGCGTGGGATAAGGGTGAGATGTGCATTTTTTAGAGTCAACCTTTTCTAACCCCGCCCTTCTTTGTGGGAAGACAGCATCGCTGTCATGCTGGTTGTCTGGGGGAAACACCTAACTGCCGTCACACCTCCGTGGTCAGTGGTACGACTTTGCTCTCGGACCTCCGGTTTGCTGCTTTTAGTCTCAATGCTCCTCGACCGATGTGCCTGGAATGGTAGGACCTTGAGGAAAGATTGTTCCAGCCAGTATAGCCCGACTGATTCATAACGATAGGCAAGCCCAACCATCACTTCAAGGTAGCAGCAACGATGGTGTCAATATAACTGAGCTCCAAATCAGAATTAAACAGTTGAAATCTGGGTGTATAAGTCGTTGAGTGATGGACATCGCGCAACAATAAAGGCCAAACAACTAATAATCTTTTAATATACTGGAAAAATTCACAAACAGTGAATAAAGATTACGGTTCATAGTCATAATCATAAGTATAACAGTTAAGAAACTGAAATAAAGATGCTTAGTATTGCTGAAATAATTGCAGTTCATGTGGAATTTTACTGTTACCAAATAATCTATAAAAATACATAAATTTAGACTGAAATAGAATCCCATAAAGTATTTGGTTTATTAATCATATTTCTTTTACTAACAATTGATATTTTAGTCAAGAAAGCGATAAAATTGATAAGGATATGGTAGATCGGGTTTGTCTTCCTACAAGGTGGTGGGTAAGTAAATTAAGTACTATGCCATTTAGAGTTTGAGCCCTTGACATACACAAAAGTGTACTATCCCATTCTCATACAAACAATGTGACTACAGTAAAAAGTTCACAAACCTGAACTTATTAGTTGCATCACCACTTAATTAAGGACTTTTACTTGGCACAGACTTGTTTAAGTAAAGGAGATCAATTGCAAAAGAATACATTGCTTATCAAGTGGATTGACTGATTATGAATTAACTCACCGTTACATACATCAATACACACTTATTATAACCATACAAATGTTTTTCCCAACAAGTTTGAGTTGGGTTTATTGAGCATGGTTGTTGGGGCGTCCCATAGAGTTTAACTAACGTAAAATTATTATATGGTAATTTATAAAAATAACTAAATGATGAATACATTATCATATTAAAATATTATTACTCAACTTATTACTATTAAACTATCCAGTTGTTTCCAGTCACTGGATAGAATGAGTGGTAATGTTCGTTTTCTTTCTTTGAATGCAAGTGATGGGAAACTAGAGACGTTCGTCGAACTACAGTACATCAGAGTCGATCAAGCATCAAATTACAATTTTAGTCGTTTCATAACTTGAATAGCCCACAAACTCATTAATTATGATGACAATGTAAAAACACCCCCGAATATCCCGGTACGGCTGAAAGTAGGGAAAGTCAACGCTCCCTCTCAAAATACTCTTACATGCTATGAGATAATTGTTGTTTTCGAAGTTGAGAGAACGAAAAGCGAATGTCCTGCTCCCACCGGGTTGGTGGATACGGACAATCCACCTGGGGGTTAGAAAACCCTGATTCCATACAAATGGTGCATATGGGCTCCAGGATCTTAAGGAAACAAATGCCGTATGAACCTATTGTCGGTCACCGGCTATCATGGGGCTGCATCTGACGTTCCTCCACTATATATATATATATATATATATATATATATATATATATATATATATATATATATGACTGCCTTGATATGAGTTACGTTTGAAAAACTAGTTTTCCATGAAGAAATACAGATGCGACTTTTTCTAATTAATTTACTTGTTTCTATGTAATTGTTCGTATTCGAATACGCTAATTAAAGGAGAACGTTTAGTCAACCGAAAATACATTAACTTTTCTAGCAAACCAAATCCCCAGTAAGAAATTTTGACTTTTAAAAAGCAGTACATCTAGTTTCTGGTGATAATTGTAAACACTATTACTAAGAAAAACTAAAGCTGAGAAAAACAAAAGTCGCAAGTCACGACCAGTTTAAAATAACCTCACTTTATTATCTAGTCTCATACGCGCGCTTTACGAACGGGAAGTTTAGTCGTAAAGTGATTTGCATTTCTCAAACTTTTGCTCTGTCGTTACGCAACAAAAGTACCATTCTTGGTCTAGAAAATTTTTCTTCAGCTGTATGTTTGTAGATTACTTTTCTTTTTGAGTTTTACCCAAGTTAATAGTTAACTGTGGTTTTGCCTCAGCTAATTATTCGGTTTTTCAGTTTTTGACGTCAAGGCTAGTTTTAATTTATTCCAACCTTTTGTACCACCAGTCTTTATCCATTTTATCCGCTTTTAGTCAATTGTTTTCTTGTTTTACGGTCGTAGACTTCTGCTAGAATCTGTAAAACAATTTACATTATCATAATTATGGAGAATACATGCAAGCGACCCGGATGCCGTTTTGCTGTTACCTCTGGCATGCAGTGTAACAAATGATTAGGTTGGTTTCACGGAGCGTGCACAGATCTTACAGTAATTGCTTACAACAGACTCAGTAAGTCGTATCATAGGTGGGTATGTGGCACATGCAACATTAATGCTGAGGTTTTGCTGCGCAACATCATCATTCTCTTGACAGGTCTGCGGAAAAAAGCTGTCAGCAAACCTGAAAAAAGACGGTCCTAAAACGAGTAAACAAATAAAGATGCTCAGTAAAGACAAGAAGTGACACCTTGACATCGCTACGGAGCATGTATCAACACCAGTGAGGACATACTGAAGCTCAGCACCATCATAACATCTACGGTACTAGACTCTTTCAGCAAGCTTGGATCTCTCAGACCAGGGACGCTGAATGTAATGGTGGTTCCCAAAACTCTGGTGGCGATTGGAATCCCGTCAACAAAGTTTAAAAGGAACAGGTGTCACGTCTAAGAGGCTGAACATCCCAAGTGTTGTATTGAGATCAACTGGTGATTTGGCCGTACAATCTACCCCCAAGAACGTTCAACCGGTCAGAGAAGAGCACGGGAATCTGAAACGTGCTTCGATCACCAAACAATAAGTTCCTCAACCTGAACGTACCCGAAAATCTGGGAAAACAATCACAGTTCGCTATAATTCTTTCATAATCATGCATCTTAAAGACAGCCTACTCCTTAGTTTGCAGGACAAAACTGACAGGATGTTCTGAGAAACTCAAACTTCCCAAAATAGAGCCTTTGATGGTCATACAGCTCACTCGGGGAAAGGGTTCTAAGCATCAAGATCACCGAAAACTACTTCGTGTAACACCCACTAACGTCACCGACGTAGAGGATATCCTACCAGCGAATCATTTACTGAAATTGGATGGGAATGTAAGAATACTGCCTATATTCTGAGCGCAATCTCATCCGGAACACCCTTAAGGAATCTCGCACATTTTTCCGCGGAAGAAATATCATTGTGCGAAAAGCACCGAAAAACAGGGACCTATTCGCATAAACCCTGATATTCATGAGTGAAAATTCATCAAATAGTCTATGAACCTCGAAAACATATTGACTCAACAAGTTGTGAGACTAGCCACGAAGGACTTCGGTTGATGAAGATAAGTTTCCCATCTCATTTGACGGCTGCAACTCTCGAAGCATTTCATGCCAACAGACCACTGTTGTCAACTAGCATTCATATACACCTGATAAGCCATATGATGCCATGATCAGGCACAAAATCAAGTTGGAGCTGACTATTCCACTTGTGGACTTTCTAGATCATGAAAACACGTGGGAAGGACAGGGACGATCAACTCCCAAAACCCTGTGTAGGTAAGCTACCTGTTCACTTACACAAGACTCAGGACAGGGGAGCTCACGCGTTTCAAAGTGAAAGCGTAAATTGCTTCTACATAAACGTCGCGAGTCTAACAAATAAAATGGACGAGCTGCCCAAGCTCAGTAATGCTAATAATGCTCATCTGAAAGGAATATCTGAAACGTGGATAGCTTATCAGTTTACGGACCAGGAGCTGGTATTACCTGGGATGTCTTTATTTCGCAATGAGAGAAAATCAGGAAGTTGGGTGGAGTAGCCTTATACTAGCGATCGTGTCTGGAAGTACACCAAGCTCAAAATCAAGAGTTTACCAATCTTAATGAATCCATATGATACTCAAAAAGGTTTTGTACCAACTCGAGCTATCCAGTTGGAGTCATCTACAGGAAGCCCACTTCTGACATCGGGTACGACAATCGTATGCTGGAAGGATTATCCCGCTCTACTCGTCTCGAATTCAATCATATCCTGATTCTAGGGGAATTCAACCTCCCTAGAGTCAATTTCGCGGAACATACGTATACTGGGGGTGAAAACTCAACTGAAGCTCAGTTCTTCAACCTCATTGAGGATCTGGGATTATTCGAAAACGTGAAGTCGGCAGCTCGTTGGAGAAACAGTCAGACGTTGTCGCGCTTGAGCTGGGTATTTACAAACGAAGAATTTCTAATTGATAACCTCTCAGCCCTGGCTTCCCCAGAGAAAAGCGTTCACGCCGTCATAGCATTTAATTTTTTCATCATAACTGAGCTAAAACATCCTACCAACAACAGGCACTGGAATTTCAAACGGTTGAATCTGGCAGTTTACGGGACAGTCTATAACAGGTGGATAGGGAAATCCACACTCAACTTGATGTGGATGCTCATTGGGATTTCTTACCGCACAAGGCAGTTTGTTCCTCAAATGGTACCCAAAATCTGCAAGCAACCTTCGGTCATCAAAAACCTCACTCTACGTTTGCTAAGCTGCAAAAGGCACTGTTAGGCGAAACAAAAGCGAACTGGTAACATCAGCTCATACAGTGCAATACAAACATACAAGTAACATGTACACAGATGATTGCTGTGGTCATTGAAAAGTTTCAAATTACTGGCTAACCAGTTACCTAGGCACTAGAAACAGTAACGGAGTTCGTGTGTTTCTGACAGCACGACTGTCGGTTATTCAAAACTATCGAAGCAGTTTCTGTTTAACATGTGATGTATCCACCAGGAAAGCAGCGAAAATTTTCACACACCATTGAAGTACTTATGAAAGTTAACAGCTGTATAACAGGTTAATGGGAATTTTGTTTTACCGTAACATGCCCTATTTTTACCAGGTTTAATAACAACTGACATCACAAACGACATCTTTTTATGGATTACTGTGGTACTTGTACAGACTAATGGTTTATTTGTACTTGATTGCTCGCTGATTTTGAATTCCAAATATAACACGTTCGTTGGTGCCCACCTAGTTATAATTCCTTTAGATTCAACTATTTTGGAATTTCCTATTTAGCACACTATTTCGAATAATTCTGATCATCATAACTGTTTCTATTTGAAGCATTATTTCATTGATTTTTCGCGCCTGTAGGTAACCCTCGTTCTATTGATGGAAGAGACCAGGCTAGTAGTGAATAAGTCTTTATTTAGATCTTCGCGTAGTCACAGTGGAGCGTGGGATTACCTGTTCACACAAACAAAGCCTCTCAAAATTCAATATACGATTACAGGAAATATGACGCCTATACAAAGTAAGGAGGTGAATGAATACTTGAACACTATTGTTTTGACATATGCTTTGTTGTTTGAGGTCAACTCTTAAACAATCAACTTAAGCTATTACATTAGCTTCCCCTAGAATCGACTTCCGTAGGAATGTCGGTTCGATTAACCTATCTATCAAAAACACCTTAGTTCTGTTTCCGCAGCCAAAGAGAGAATTATTAACTCACACTCTGTTTGACTTCCAAACAATGATGATTAACTCCATCAGCAATCGACGATAGTCCATGGATGTCTCTTCATTTACTAGCTTGCCATCTTATTTTGTAGCATGTAATTTCTCCTACAACTATCGCTGGAGGTTTGCCACGTGCTTGCAAGAGAAAAGGGTGGGAAAATGAAACTAGAATATCTGAGGAAGTGCTGCGAGCGGGCTACCCAACACCATGTTGGTGAGGTACGATTTTTCCATGCTCTGTCCGGCTGTCAGGTGTTTACTCACATGCCTCTGGAGTTGCCCTCAAACAAAAAAATAAAGAAGGATCTATTTCAAAGGCAACGATGAAAACCAATGAAACCTGAAGAACTGCTCCACTGCTTGCATAAAATACTAAGGTACAAAATGGAAATACATAAATATAGTTGATAATTTTTCGTTTCTTCGTAAGTGTTTGGCTTCCAGAATGGATTGGTAATCTGGAAGGAAATAGACATAGTGTATACATATTGTGTACGAAAAAGTATGAAAACAACAAAAAATACTCTTTTAGAATGCAAATATATGTAAAAGTGTGAATTTACCAGAAGTTTAACTCCTTATCAAACTCGATCAAATGTATGACCTTGAGTCCATGATGACCGCCTTTTACAACCAGGTATGTAACCGTGAGTGCATAAGAGTACTTCTCAACCCGGAAAAGTATAATATACGGTCAAGAAGTAAAAGAAAACTATAAAGAGTATGAGGATCGAATACATCTGTCAACCACCATTTGATGGCTCGATGTAGGTATGCGTGATATATTGAAGCTACATTTCCCCAAGTCATCTAGGTAACAAGTTGATCCGTACCATAGAAATGTGAAAGTTTTATTAGTCCAAAGTATTATGAATGATTAATCAGTGTAAGGAAATACTATAGTCATGTCCATTGTAGGCCGGTGTGATTTATTAGCTAAATTTGTTATCTAGCATTCAGGAGGGCAGAGATCCGAGTGCGTATAAGGCCGTTGTTTTTGTTTGTAAAACTCACTTGCATACGATGCTCGATAACCACAAGTTGCTCAGACAAGTAGTTAGTTGTCCACGTACTGAGATATTGCAGATACAGGTAGACCAGAAACTCTGAATACTTGATCCATACAAGTGCCTTCTTTGCAAAATAACAGCAGAGTAGATTGCAACCATAATTTACGATTTTGTTTAACGACTAGATAATTTAAAAAAGATTACCTATAGTAAACTATTCACTGAATTTTAAAAGCTTTCCTTGTATTTAGAGCAATACCGAAAGATAAACGGTGTTGCTGACGGGTGAATAT